GCCTGAGCCCCAGCTCCCCTGGGCCACCCCCCCTTGGGACCCCCCCTCCGTCCAGGCTTCCCACGGCAGCCCCCCCTGGGCCGCGGAACCCTTTATTTTCGTTGTGGGGCCATCCCCCCTTGAGACCTTCCCTCCGTCCAGGCTTCCCAGGGCAGCCCCCCTGGGCCGCGGAACCCTTTACTTTCGTCGTGGTTCGTGGCTCGTGGTGGTTCGCCCCCCTCGGCCCCCCTCCTGAGCCTGAGCCCCAGCTCCCCTGAGCCACCCACCCTTGGGAGCCTTCCTTCGTCCAGCCTTTCTCCGTCCAGGCTTCCCAGTCCTTCGCAGCTCCTTTGTGCAAGAGCCAACGCACCTGTGCCGCTTGTTTTATTCGCGGCCATAACGGGCGTTATCGGGGGGGAGGGGGGTGGGCGGGAGGGGGCACAACGCAGCGCCCACCCCCCCAGGACTGTGGTGCCGGACGCACTGCGGCATTGCCCGCGACGCACTGAGGGGGGGGAGCGTTACGTTACGTTATACAAGGGGGGAAGGGAAGGGGGAGGGTAGGGGGCATAACCGCGCGTTATGGCCCAGAGGTTAAACAAACACACTCTCGTGGCTGCAACGCGTTGCCCTGGGGCCCTGGGGTTCGGCCGCGAGCGAGGGGGGGAAGTGAGAAAGAGAGAGCCGTATCAGAAGATTCGGAAGTCATCCGACCTTCCTAGACATTTGTTGTAAGCTTTCCCCAAAACAAAAAACCTTCTCAGATGGCGCGAGGCTTTCTGACAAGTCCCGCCGCCTTCTGAGAAGGTCTCCTCCTTCTCGTTTCCCCCCCTCGCTCGCCGCTGAGGGGCATGAGAGACCAGAATCGAATCGATATGTCGGATCGGCGATCGAATGAATCGGATCGGCGGAAATCGGCAACCGAGTCGGGAAAAGTCAAATCGGCAGAAATCGGCAGGCTAGTAAACCTCCAATCACACATCGGAACCCATATCGGAATCCCAAATCGATTCGAATCAGAATCGGAAGCAATCGAAATCGAATCGAATCGGAGGAATCGGAACCAGCCCTGGAGTTAGGTCGGGCATGTCACCCTACAAGCTGACTTTGGACGAGACATGAAAAATATCAAAACCTATGTTTAAAAGCTCCCAAAGAGTCAAACCTACACTGAAAACGTTGCCCCAGCTTATGATGTTGACTACGTTTGAATAGTCCTCCTCTAGAGGGACGTGCCCGATTTAACCCTGGAGGGGTGGGCGCGCAACGGCGTGGGTTGAGCAAGGACCGACCATCCCGGCATTCCTATAGGCCTACCACGACATGTTCTTAGGACCCAAAAATGTCCTGAGAACAAGAGCGAAGCTCTCAGAACAGAAACCCGGTGTGCCAAAACAAGACAGTCCCAGCGAGACATGTTCTGAGAACATGACCTGCAGACCACAAAAGGCTCTTAGAACGCTGTTTGGTACAGGGCAGATTTTAATACATAGGATGTTTCAAAATATAGGATCTGTAACACATGATTAATGTATGGATACATGTATGCATGAACTCATCGTTGTTTTTAATACTAGATCCCTGCATTTTTAATACATGGTCCGCACGCGGAGCATATATTTAAAAAGGCACTGTAGGCCTATAGGCACGCCAAGACGCTTCGCCACTGCTTGAGGGGTGGGAGCGCAAGCGGCGTGGGGTGACGGCAACGATGGCCCTGGCGCGGCGGCACCGGAGCACGCCCGGCCCCTGCAGCACCACTCGCGCGCGCGCACGGAACCTGCCAGCACGGCGAGCGCCCGCGCGGGCGCGCCAAGCCCGCCCGGAGATCCAAGACGAAGCCAGGACGAGGACAACATCGGGGGAGGCTCGAGCATCGACGGCGAAATTCGAGATACATCGAGGATCACATCGACGACAGAATCGAGGATCACATCGAGGATCACTTCGAGAATCTCCTCAGATCCGGCGGCTCTCGAGCATGTCTCGGGCACCGCGGCCCCCTCAGATCGTTGCGGAACGCTCTGGGAGCGCTCCAGAACGCTCTGGGACGGATTTCTCCTAGTCCCAGCCCTGTCCGAAGAACCGACGTTGCTACAGAAACTACAGCATCGCAGAAGACCACAACCAGAGCCCGAACCCCTGTCTTTCTGAAGGGGCCCTGGGACACACAAATAAGTGCACACAAATAAAAGGATCCCCCATATCTTCCAATATTTGTTGGATTCTCGTCTTCCCCCCCCCCCCACCTCCCATATTTTCCCATATTTTTTAGGGGCTCGACGATTAGTTGTGTCTGTTTTTTTTTTCCCCCCCTCCTGTCCTTCTGCTGCGCTCTCCGAGCCGGATCGATCTGTGGATGGTCCCCGTGCCGGGCCCGAGGCCGCACGACGGCGCCCGCATCCTCGGGGCCCGCGGAGCCGTCGAAGGTCGCCGTCGCCGTGCGTTTTTTTTTTTTTTTTTGCCGTCGCCGTGCGGCTTTGGGCCATGCTCCCCTGGCCTCCAGGGGCTGTCCGGGAAGGTCGGGCCGGCTCCAGGAGAGGCCAGAATCGCATCGATGAGTCGGGCCGGCGATCGACATGCATCGGATCGGCGGACATCGGCCACACCCCTGGCCTCCAGGGGCTGTTCGGGAAGGTCGGGACAGCTCCAGGAGAGGCCAGAATCGCATCGATGAGTCGGGTCGGCGACCGAAAGGACTCGGATCGGCGGACATCGGCAGCCGAGTCGGGAGAAGTCGGATCGGCGAACATCGGCAAACTATGCCTCCAATAAGGAATCGGAATCCAGATCGGAATTCCGAGTCGAATCGAATCGAATCGAATCGGGAGAATCGAAACGAGCCCTGCAACCCCGGAGCGCCCTCGGCGAGGCGCGGCTGCTGGAGAGCATCCCGAGGCTGGAAGGCCTCCGGGGACCCACGAACGCAGCCAAAAACCTCCAGCACCTCGAACCTCGAAGAACACTGATCACTGAACGGGCGAAGAACGGGATAAAACACACTTTTCCGTTGTCGGGGCCGCCTGTCCCAGGGCGGCCGGAAAGATTATCCCCTTGCGGTGGCGCGTCAAGGCGTAGCCTTTCCAGCTGGCCTGGGCCAGCGCCCCACGGCGACGGAGAAGTTTGTCTTATACCCTTCCTCGCCCGCTAAATTCGGGGATGGACAGACCCCCCTTTAGTAACACGTGGTTTAGTGAAAACGACCTGAGGCCCAAACCTGGCGGGCACAAGCCTGGAAAATAACGGCCACGGCGCCCTCTCGAGAACCGAAAACGGACAATTCACTAATCGACGTGTCACTGTTGGGGGTCTGTCCACCCCCGATGAATCACCGGCGCCGTGCTTCTTTCTTCTGCAGGCCGCGCCCGTCCCAGACCCCGGACGTGGTGCTCTCTCAGGGCGTCGACCCATGGAGGTCTCGGCCCACTCTCGGGGGGAACGCAAGGGGGGGATAGCAAAGGGTATGGCAGAGACTCGGCTCACGTAGCTGATGTTCCCAGCGCCTCCCGGCGCCGGGAGGCGCCCATGTATCGAGGACTGGGCCCAGCGGCGGGGCCGAAACCAGCTGCATGCAGCAGATTTCGTGCCACCCCCTTTCCCTGATCCCCCCCTTCCGTTCGGCCAGACACTCCCTGGGACCCCTTTTCTTCGGCCGGACGGATTCTTCTCTTCGGCGGCCCCGAAGACCGCCCAGCCAGAGGCCGAAAACACCCGAGGACTTCCCGCTGATATCTGTTCCCAACAACAAATGTTGTCCCAAACCAACAGCGGCCGCTGTTGGGCAGGCGGCCTTCTGTTTCAAATGTGCACAGGCCGCGGCGACACCGACAGGGAGTCCTGTTCGAACATGAGCAAGAACCGCTGTTGGGCATTGTACCCATGCTTTCCGTACCCATTTCGTTCGTGCCGATCCCTGGAAGTCTCGGCCCATTCCCCGGGACCACTTTTCTTCGGCCGGAAGGATTCGCCTCTCTGGCGGCCAGGAGGACCGCTCGGCTGGAGGCCGAAGACACCCGAGAAACCTTCCGCCGAGATTTGCTCTCGTGGCTCGAGGGGCAGGCGACCCCAGCATCGAACCGACTAGCCGGATCGGCCATCGACGTGGATCAGAGCGGCGGAGATCGGCAGCCGAGGCGGGAGGAGTCGCATCGGCGCGAAGTCGGGAGGCCAGTCTGCCTCCAAAGGAGGCATCGGAACCCGGATCAGACTCCCGAGTCGAAGCGAATCGGGACCGGAAGCCCTCGAAGTCGGATCGAATCGAAGCGGAGGGATCGAAACGAGCCCTTCTCTTCGCCCGTCCGCGCCCGGCCGCGCCCTTCTCTTCTAAAACAGGGCTAATTAGGATCGGGATAAATCGCTCCAGAGCGTTCCGGCGCGCTGTCAGAGCGTTCCGGAACGCTCTGGAGCGGCCGCGGCGCCCAATACGTCCTCCAAACCCGCCGATCAGAGATTTCGAGTTATCCCGAACCGATTTTGTCCCGATCTTCGCGTCGTTTTAGGTACGGAATCTACTGCATGCAGCTGGTTTCGGCCCCGCCGCTGGGCCCATTCCTCGATGCATGGGCGCCTCCCGGCGCCAGGAGGCGCCGGGAAAGTCAGCTACGTGAGCTGGTGCTCTACTCTACCCCTTGCTATCCCCCCCCTTCGTTCCCTCCGATAAACGCTGTTTTGCTGGACGTCGGTTGTGGTTTGTTTTCCGCTCTGGCAGGGGTACAGGACAACAAGTTTGTTCTTCGCGTCGCTTTATCTTCGCCCGGCTGCCATCTCTTGGGAGGCCGACTCTTGCTTCCGCCGGCCTCCGCCGGCGGAGCCGCCCTCCGCGCTGCTCCCGCCGCCCTCCCGCCGCCCTCCGAGCCGCCCTCCGAGCCGCGGAGGAGGCGGCAACTCCTGGGGGGGACGAGGAGGAGGAGGAGGAGGAGGAGGCGGAGGAGGAGGCGGAGGAGGAGGAGGCGGAGGCGGAGGAGGAGGAGGAGGAGGAGGCGGAGGGGAGCCTGCCTCTTCTCTTCGCCCGGCCGCGCTCGTCACCGCCGCCAGCACTGGCGCCCCGCGAAGACCTCCCGGGCGCAGGCGCTCGGCGCCGCCGGCGTGACGTTGTAGATACCGTCCCGCAGGTGCTCCAGGGCCCCGCCGGAGGTCGGGGTGCCCAGGCGGGACGCACGGGGGCATGCTAAGATCAAGTCGGGCCTGTCCCCCTACAGGGGGATCTTCGACGAACAATTAAAAAATGCCCCAAAAATAATCAAAAAATAGCCGGGGTCCCATTTTTGGTGCATGTTCCTTTTACCTGTTGGGGATATGTTTGGGGTATTTTTTTCATTTACCGTCGAAAATCTTCCTGTAGTGGGACAGGCCCGACTTAATACTAATACTATATGTCCTCCCTGGAGGCGCGCGTCCGACCCGCACAGATAAGATAACCATCGTGTAGTATTTTGTTTCCCGAGCGGTGCGGTCAGAAAGCGCCCGCCACGACGCATACACCAGAAGATTTCTCGGTGCGCGCGTCGCCCCTGGGGGGGCAACGCACATATAGTTCAAGCATGTTGGGGTGACGCCGACCAGAGGCGCGTTACGATGAAGGCATGATCTCGAGATCCAAGCGCTGTCGCACGGTTCGAGGCTCGAGATTTTCGGACGTTTTCGTGTGTTCTCGTCGGCTTCCCATCCTCGGAGTGCCTGCCAGCGGCTGCGCCTCGCCGAGAGCTCTCTGGGAGTGCACAGAATGCCCCGAACGGCCGCCAGAGAACGAGCTATGAGCCGAAAGCCAAGGGGTGAGGCCGAACATCCCCTGAGACCCTGGTATTTCATTTCACTCACACCGGGTGTTTCCGCATGGCTTCGGGCCCCAGGACCATCACAGATCGATCTGGCAAAAAACATGCCGCAGGACGATGGGGTCTAACTATAGGGCTCAGGGATGTGATCTTTCGCGACATGGCAATTCTACCCCATGTGCTTGTTTCAATCGCTGCGTTTTAGCTCCATGTCCGCGTCCTGGAGCCACATCCAGGCTTCAGGACCGTCAATAATGGATCCGGGACGCACAACTATCACTGAGGAAGGGGTCGGGAGTTCGGGGGGCGCGGCGCGGAAAATCATATCGGGGGACGTCTGGAGGACGTCTGGGGACAAGATGGGGACAAGATGGGGATACATGTGGGGAACGCTACGGGCGGATGAGGGACGAGGGGGTGGAATCGGCAATGCCTCCGCAGTGAGCAAATTCGCACATTCCTGGGCGGGGTGGTCTATCAGGCCCTTTTCCGCGCTCAGTGGGAGATTGGGGATCGATGCATCCCCCCCTTAGCCCATCTCCGTTTAACATGGCCCATAAGATGACGAGGACAGGATGAGGGTAAATTTGCACGGTGTTTTCCATACCCCTGCCCTGACATCCCCTCGCTGAAACAAAATCACAACGACTGGTGTGGTTGTTGTGGTTGCTGCTGCTGCTGTTGTTGAACCCTCGCATCTGAAAAATCATAAATGCTGATCCCCCCTGCCGGGTGCACATTGTATTTTTCAATTGAAGTGCCCTTCCTGGGGCTCGCACCCTGTTTTTTATTCAAGAAGGTCTAGAGCCTCAAACTGCGCCCTTGGCCGCCGAGTTACAACAACAACGGCTCCCACCTGATACTTCCTCACAGTGTATTGACGAAACAAGCTTTCGCTTCAGACTTCCTTGCAATGTACTCAAGAAAGGCGCTCGCCTGAGACTTCCTCGGCTATCAGGAATCGCGCTCTCACTTTGGACATCCGAACGATATACTTGAGAGTCGCGCTCCCGCTAAATACTGCTTGGCGGTCCAAGCAGGATCCACGCTTCGACGACCCGCCCGATCGACCCGCCCGTCGGGGCCTGCCCGCCCGACCAGCCCGTTAGGGACTGCAGTCGCCGCTCGCTGCCCTTCGCCCGCCTTCCCCGTACTGTTCCGCGGTCGCCTTCGCTCGCTGCCCTTCGTGGCCACGTTGCTGCCCTCAATGGCCCCGTCGCTGCCCTCTGTTGCCCCGCATTATATGCCGTTCGTGGGCCCCGCTTGCACGCGCTTGTCGTGGCCCCGTATGCACGCCCTTTGTGGCCGCGCGTTTGCCCTTCGTGGCCCTCTCGTTGCCCTTCGTGGCCCCTTTGTGGCCCCCCTTCTGCTCCTCTCTCTCGTGCTCCATCCTCCTCCCTCCACCTTTGTCCCATTATTCCGTCCGTCCTCTCTTCTCCTGCCGTAGGGGCTGCATGGAGTGCACGTTGCAGGTAAGAAAGACACACCCCCAGGGGTGCGATCGAAGAAGAACAAGGCGGGTACCGAGGGTGTTGAATATACGTGTTGAATGGCCCGCGAGCAAATACCTGTGAGCAATCTTAAAATGATTGTTGCTCTTGCTGCTGTTTCCAACTTATGGGGGCCCTCACCAAGGGCCTCCTAGGGCCGCACCGGAAGCCCGCTCGCGAGATTGATTTTCCGGCGAGGAAGCCAAAATCTTTGATTTTACTGCGGTTTTGGCCCCACTGTGGCCTCCTGGGGGGGGCAAGGCTAATTAATGCTGCGCACTTCTTTGATTGATCTCCTCCAAGATGGCCCCAAGAAGCGCCCAGGAGGCCCCCAGAGGGGCCCCAAGATGGCCCCAAGCGGCCCCCAACAGGCCGCAGGAGGCCCCGAAGAGGCCCCCCAGAGGCACCCTAGATGCTCCCAAGAGACCCCCAAGAGGCCCCAGAAGAATCCCCAGAGGCACCCTAGATGCTCCAAGAGACCTCGGCGAGAATGCCAAAACGCCATCGGCGAGGAAGCCAAAATCAGTGGTTTTACTAAGGTTTTGGTCCCATTTTGGCCTCCTGGGGGGGTCGCTAGTTAATACTCCCCTCTTGTTTGATCGATCTCCTCCAAGATGGGGTCCCAAGATGGCCCCACGATGGCCCCAAGAGGCCCCCAAGAGGCCCCCAGGAGGCCCCCAAGAGACCCCCAAGAGGCCTCAAGAGACCCCCCAGAGGCACACAAGGTGCTCCAAGAGGCCTCGGCGAGGATGCCAAATCATTGATTTCACATAAAAAGGTTTTAGCCACATGTTGGCCTCTTGGGGGGGAGCACTGATTAAGACGACTCCAAGATCGCCTGGGAGAGCCCAAGATGACCTCCAAGATGGCTCAAGATATCCCAAGATGTCTCATAATGTGTGCTGCCCACTTCCCTGATCCAGGCAATTCCTCTGGGCATCGTTTCTGGTTGGGCTGGTGGGGATTATTTTTTTGGTCGGCGGCTCCAGGGCGAAGGACATGGAGCGGGTCAACGTCCGGGGCGCGGAACGAAGATAATTGGCCGCAGTGACGTATGCACATGCCAGGGACAGAATGACCCTCATTGAGACGCCAGGCTTGGTGGGGATTCGCGAAACGTCAACAATTACAATGATCGTTACCGTTACCCGGGGGAAGGGGGCTGGGGCCCGGGTTGCGGCCGCTACGAGCCAACGAATACAAAAAGTCTCTGGAGGAGGAGGAGGAGGAGGAGGAGGAGGAGGAGGAGGAGGAGGAGGAGGAGGAGGGAGGAGGGAGGAGGGAGGAGGGAGGAGGGAGGAGGGAGGAGCGAGAGCGGCCGTCGTGGAATCTGTGTGGCCCGTTCCTTCGCCCCGGGGGACAGCACAGCAGCGCCTCCCAAAGATGCTCTGGAAGCCGGGCGGGCACCCGCGAAGCTCCCGGAGACCCTCGGCGCTCCCGCAGAGGCCCCCGCCACCTCAGAGATCCATAACGCATCCAAGAGGATCAAGACTCAAGCTTTTCGCCGTTGGCAGCCTCTAGGGGCCCCCACGGGGCCCCAGGACCGTCAGCAGCAGAACGGCTCGGGATGAGCCAAAACTGGTCCCCGACAGTGGCTCGAGACTTCTGGAGACCCCTTGTTCAAAGAATAAAGACCTCGGATAGCTCTGGACCGCCATGTGTGACAGACGTCCCAACGGCGGGGCCCGAGCCAGCGCACCCGAGTTCCCCAAGCAGAGCTTGCAAATTGTCTCTTACTTGGTGCTCTTCGGCTGGGTTTTTGGGTGGTGCCTGTGGGCTCCAGTGGGAGCCTCATAGGCGCCCCGCGCTTGGAGTGTATAACGTGGTTTCGCCTGGCCCCTGCCACATGTTTTGCACCGCGTGGAGCCCACCATATGTATATATTTATACACACAAACACATGTATATCACACCATGGGTTGCACCATATAGCTTGTATTACATAGCTTGCGGCACCACATCCTCATTACAATGACCGGCTGTTCGGGGTACTATCCGACTGACATGTGTATGTCGGGTCGGGCGAAAGGGGGGGATAGCAAAGGGGGGGGGTGAGAATCAGCTCACGTAGCTGATTATCCCAACGCCTCCCGGCGCCGCAGGCGGCCATATATCGAGGAATGGGCCCTTCGGTGGGGCCGAAACCAGCTGCATGCAGCACATTTCGTAACCCCCCCTTTCCTAATCCCCCCATTTCGTCCGGCCCGAGTATGGTTGAACATTCTTACACATGTGTGCACGAAGAAATCCGCCGACCCAGTTGGCGTGGGTGAGAGGCCCTTCGGCGAGAGGCCAACCCAGACCAAACTGAAGCACGCCAGCCTCCTCTGACTCGTCGTCGTGAGAGGGAGATCAAACAAGCAGAGAGATCGAATGCAAAACCAGGATCGAACAACTTCGCAAATACTTCGAAAAGAGACGCTCCTCCCCTTTCTCTCTTCCCCGCTGGGGGGGGGTGTCCCCGGGGGTCCGGGGGGGGCCTTCGCTGGGGGGATCCCGTGGGGGGGTCCCAGGAATCGTCGTGCGAGCCTCCTCCCGGGCGATCCGCCCCGTGGAGATGTGGGCCCGGGGGGACCCCCGCCGCCTCGGTCTCGGCTCCGGCCCCGAAGGCCCCCGCCCCCGCCCCCACCCCAGCCCCGGCCCCCACCCCGACCCGGTCCCCGGCCCCCTCGGCCCCCTCGGCCCCCGCCTCGGCCTCGGCCCTGGCCCCGCCCGGCCTCCTCCTCCTCCTCCTCCTCCTCCTCCTCTCCTCCTCCTCCTCCTCCTCCTCCTCCTCCTCCTTTTCCTCCTCCCCCTCTCAAGCACATGTGGCTGGAGGTTCATGCGTAGCTTTGGGCTGAGCGATGGGCA